TATATATATATACATGACGATGACCCTAACCACCAGGCTACTTAGGGTGTACATAATCGCAGGCACACCAGATGGTACTCACTCTGTTTGGGTGACGGCGTCCAGATGGGGTAGAAAAAGCAGCTCGTAGCACGCAGTCCCATCAGCCCCATGAGTGAAGCAGTTGGACCAGTACCGATCTATATTGTAGAATTAAAGTGGCCGGAAATATATATACTCGGCAGTAGACTCAGAATTATGATGTTCGAAAATGAATCTGAGCTTAAAATTCGCCTAAAGAAATGCATCAGATTGCAATAAACTTAGGATTCGACTCGCTCTCTTTCGACACGTTTGTGAAGTGAGTTAAGTTCCGGTTAAAGTAGTTGTTGGGATTTTATTGAACGAAGAGACATTAGCTGGCAGGTAGAGCATAATCCTATTCGTTTAATTCGTTCGGGCGAGCTTCCAAATTCATTAAAGGTGAAAATCAACCTATTTGCAAATGACAGTCGAAGTGTTTTCCGCAGCACAAGGCGTTTCTTGAAACACGAGGTGAAAGTTCATGGAAGCAGCGCATTTGAAGGTAGGCCTAAGTCACTCAGCTCCACCATTATTATTATGAAAGCAACACGAGAGAACAATAGTACTTCGCTACCGTACAACAGTGTCAATTTACTTGAATAAAGCCACATCACGAGGAGCATGCGGGATGCTCACATCAACCCTCAGTTAAATAAACCGGATTAAAACTGAAAGCGTGAACGCTACTGACATCGGTTAGCTACCACATCGTTTTCTGTCTCTAACCAAGCGCGAGACGTCATATCCCGGAGGCTGAACAGCTACAAGAGTGCCCAAACTTTACGCAACATCCTTCGTTCCCTTCTGCTACGCCAGGTTCTGTTGGCCTCTAGATTCACACCACTTTGAATCAGGCACAGGAAACAAAACTCTTCTAGGCAGGTTGTAACTCGGTGTGCGTAACAAATTGCCCTGCAGTGCTGGATGCATTCTTTGAGTGCAGTACCCTCTGCTTCACCAAAAGTTTGTTTCCTGATCACCTCATTGAGAGTTCGTTGGTTCTAGGGGACCCGAACCATACTTTTGATACACCTGTGGGACCTGAAAATATCTCAAATCCTCGGCACCAAAATAGCCAAGTGTGGTATCTGCATAACAATACAGCCAGATTCACGCATACGTTGAGACTCAGTGACACGTGTTTTTGACGCCACAAGTGGGGCAAACTGGCAGATAGAATTCTGGCGCATGATATTCACAAACTTCTAGGCACACCCTGTTGTGTAAGCGTGCTGAGAATAACTAACTGATTGACAGAATCGAATACAGTTGACGCCAAGGAACACCAAGACTGTGGGGTACCCATACACATACCGTTGTTCTAACACTTGGGGTGGTGCGAAGATGTGGTCCCTACAACGCCTCCCTAGCCGGAATCATGTTCTAGGGTCCCGTCTTCAAGCACCCTCGTAAAAAGACGTCTACTAAGCGACGCAAAAGTCTGGTTAAAACAGAGGTCAAGCTAATTCCTCTGTTGTTACTATACTGACTGCGAACGCCGCTATAGACCGACCCTAGTTGGGGTATGGCAACTCCATCGTTCAACAGAGCACGCTGGAATTCCTCCTAACCAGGTGAGGCTTGAGCAGGAAAGTCATGCACTTGTTTCTGGAAGCCACCGGGGGTTGCAGGTTCATTGTCCACAGCTTCGTGGTGGGTTGGGAATCCTGCCGAGCTACTGCGGGTGGCCGACTGAATTATTGCTGAAAGTGTTGAGAGCCACTGAGTTATTAAGGATACCACTATTTATATATTGCTCCCATACATACAATGCGTCGACAGACCTCTTATTTTAATATCTGTCAAAATTCCCGTTCGGCTTTCTAAGAATTTAATCCGAGACGACATCAACATCTTACCGATGGTAGACGTAACCCAAAAAGAAATCAGCTGTCTATCTCTTAGTCAAAGGTGCGGCAAATCACGGGTGAATTTCCGTAGCACAGCTGTTAGAGAACGCTACCTGTAAAGTGGGCGTTCGGTGGTGGGGATCCAATCACAGGCGTTCTTTCCATTCAACCTGTCAAGAGCTACAAAATCCTATTCCAGTTTCTATCCTACCTTTTTCCGAGGCATTCTGAAACGTTTAGTCAATTCTGTCTGTTTATGTTTACCAGTTGACGGGGACAGTTTTGATAAGACCAAAAAGAAAAAGTTTTTAAAATCTGGTCGGTTTACAACAGAAACCGATTTTCTCCATTATGCGGTCAACGGAGATACCCATTATTGTACAAGTAAAATGGACAGTCGGTGATAAAATATTTCTCACTTGATAAGGTAGGAAGTAGGCAGCCACCACGTTGCCGAAGCAGCCAGAAATTAGGTAGACCGCTCCGACTACCCGACTTCTATGGAAAAGCTCCAAATCCCACATAAACATAACCTGAATTGTTATGGTTATGATTAGCGGCACAAGGCTGCAAAGGAAGACGTCGTAAATAAATAAATAAATAAATAAATGAATAAATAAACAAAAATAAACTGGATGAAAACCTTCGACAAGAAAACAGATAAATGTACGGGGAACATGGGACCAATGTTTCGCTGAGAAACCGACTGGCCTCTCATTCGTTTATCACTTATGGAGGAGCTAGTTCCCGGCTGGTGAAAGAAAAGAAGCACAGTGCTCCAAAGGCGTCCAACAAACGTTCTGAGAAAGTCTTAAAACCATATTAGATGGATAAACAAGAGAATTTTTCGGGAAGCAGTGACTGCACGTGAGGTAAGTTGTTCTTCAAAGTGTCTTGGCTTGGTAAACAGAGTCAAATCAAGGAACTATAGTGTTGGTGGTACGATTAAGGAAAACTTAATATCAACCTCTGATGCCTGTGGAGTCGAAGTGCTCCCGGAGCGCCCGCTGACAGATATCGAGTACGCAAAAGACAGCTATTCTTGGATATGACCCCGTGGTAATGCAAACAATATTAAATAATCTAAATGATTCCGCCTCACGGTTCGGTATGCGCTTTGCAACAGCAGAGTGTAAAGTGCTACTGCGAGACTGGGTGGGCTCGGAACCCAACCTCATGCTTGCGGATTAGCCAGTTAAGGTAGTAGACAAATTTCTTTACCTGGACAGCTCTACCAGTCCCGGTGGTCTCGCGAAAGATGGTATCTCCATCCGCATAGGGAAGGCCAGAGCAGCCTTTGTGAACCAGCTTCACCTGTGGCGCAAGCGTGACATGAGCGTTTACAGGTTTACAATATCGTGGTGCGCTCAATATTACTATACGGATAGGAAACCTGCTGAGGACGTCAAAAGACTTAGTGTTTGACCATTGGACTATTCGGACCATGGCCCGAGTCTGGTGGGAACACCGGATGACCAATGCTGAAATACGCCGAATGCTATTCGGAAGAAATAAATCAGCCTCGATAGATGAACTGGTCACACTGCATCGGTTGCGCTGGCTTGGCTACGTGCTGTTTATGTCCGTCGACCGACTTACTCGATGGGTTCTTTTCGCAAAACCACATGAGTGGTGGAAACGAGCCAGAGGCGGTCAAACAATGAATTGGCAGCGAAGTACAAAAGCCATTATCAGCAAACTCAGCTGCGCTGGTCATTGCCGTCTTCCTCGATGGGGACCGCAAGGCGGGCCACATCAACGGTTGGAGACATAGTCAGACATGGACCAGTCGCGGACTCAATGGCGCTCGTGTATCCAAGCTATTACCTTCAATGCATAGCTCCCTTCCCAATTCCACCGTTTAACAGTCCACTGATAATCCTGTACTTACCCACCAATATATAGGCTCTCGCCTCCAATGTGCAGCTACCTACCCCACCTCCCCAAGTCATCGGTGGTAGCTAACTAGACGAAACTTACGGTTGTACGGCAGTGGAGCATCAGTGCCAACACTGATGTTGCTGTCTTTGATGATGATTCATGTCGTAGCAACTCTGGGGATTCATAACTTACCCGAAGACGTCTGCGAATCCACCATTTGTTGCAAAATCACAGATAAGTTGCGATAAGTCCCGAGAGGATCGATTTATGCTTCAATTCTCGGCAGGGTTTGGACAAATATCAACAGTCCGCAACCCTTCCTCCGGTATTTACTCCAATTAAGCGACAACGGACTAATCTAGTTACAAAATAAAACGACCTCTGATCTTCTGTATCTTCACAATCAGAAGTTGACAAAACACCATGTTATCTGAAGCAAAATCTGAACGAATGTGTCAGGGAGCCGGTTACGGGGCGAACGAAGGCATACTGTGATTGATCAAGGCGTCAGCAAATCAGGACCGGGTATTTATATCTCGGCGCCTACTGCCTCCTCACGAAAATTCTAGAATGCTCTTATTGGAAATCCCGTGATAACCCTATGGATACAGTTGGAATGAATTTCTGTTGTCTCCATAGAGAGCTGCCTCAAACTGTCTTGCCCATATTTGGCGGAAGAGCAAGTCGAGGACTGGCACAGAAGTTTCACCATCGTTTATACGTTACAACAAACCAACAAACAGGGCAAAAACAGTGGTAGGCTGCCTATGGATGTTCGGCGACCGCCTCATACTGCACACATAAAACAGGAAATTTTATTGAATAGCGAAGCAAAATTTCGGGGCAACCTGTGCACTTCATATTAAGCAGGCGAATGTCAGCGTGGCATAGAATACGAGTGTCTCCATCAGTTCCCCAGCCCCCGGCGACCTTAATATTTACGTGACGCTGAAGATACTGTATACGACTCACTTTCATAGATCATACCAATCGCAGTTTGGGAGTTCGACTGGTGGACTTAAACCAGCAGCAGATAACAGATACCGACAGACGAGGCATTATCGTGCGTGATTTACCTTCCTTTAGGCACCTGAGCCTCCAATACAAAACTTGTTGATACCAGATACCCGATCCGGATAGAACGGATCTTTGAGAAGACCACTTTTGTTTAGTCCCCTAAATCCTATACTGAATTCAACGTCTCAGGGACACCACCTCCAAATTAGCTAGCGAAACGCTGTTTGGGGCATACTTTGGTCTAAGTGCCCACCAGAAGGCCGTGAAACCATACATGTGTCCCGTTGAAGGGTACTTGATGGAAACGCGGTCGGGGTTCCTTAAGCAGTATTAATTCGAACTACTGGTTGGTGAAGCTGTGTGAATCATCTCTCCAGTATGTATATTTGAAGTGAAAATACCAACCACTAGATGTACTCCCATCAATATTAATTTTATTCACTGAAAATCTTGTGACATTCGACTTTGATCGGGCCTGAGAATTTCCAATGATAAAAAAGATAACCAGTCAGTTGTAACACCCTTTCGGTGCCTAGCTGCCATGCCACGCGAAGGAAGCACGAAGGCTTGGATACTCCCAGGTTGTTCAAGCCTAGACAAGAAAAGTCGAGAGGCAGATGTCAGGCTCGAACCACAGACCTTCCGGTCAGTAAATTCGCACTCCAACCACTTGAGCCATCCCGCCCCCAAAGGGGAATTTCCCAAATTTTAGGCGTATAAGATTTCTTGGTGAAATGAATAAAAGCTGCTTAAACGAACCCGTACGACTTTATCCTCTAGATTCAAATGGCGGATACACCAAGACCGTTTGCAATGAAGCAAAACCTGGAACTGATATCACAATTATACTGCAAGTGGGTGCGATGTTGCTATTTGGACATGCACACGAAGCTCCGTAGTTCACATATTACGTACCCAGAGTGGATAAAGAGTGACGTGATCAATCGATACCACTGGTCCGCGTAAGCGCCTTTCAGAAACGGTGCCATTCCACAAACGTCTTTCAAGCAGTTAACCTACAAATGTGTTGGACAGATGAAACAATTTGGTCAGATGGTGCCTACAACACAGGATGGCTGATATGAGCGAATAGATAGGGGGAAGTAAGCACCGCTTAACCAGACAACTATCACCATTGTGAACCGTTTCCAAATGAAGCTGGGTACACAGAATTCAATACGTCATTAGTAACGCTCTAGGGCAATGTGTGGAACACCGCGTGTATCCAACAAGAAAGCATGCGTATTTTATATCTCCCAATAAGGTGTACACACTTTCCGACAAAACCATAAGAATACATTAATAAAAAGTTACAACTCTGCGGTCATTTTGGCTTTGTCAGCTGATAGCTAGACTTGAAAGGACGCACTAGGTGCCTAACATGTTGACTTTTGGTCAGCCTAGCGCTTCTGGCGTCAAATCGGTGAAAAATGAACAGATGAAGCCGACTGAGCAATCGTTAAATTTGAAACTATATCAGTAAACTAAGTCTCTTCTTGTGAGGCACACAAAATTACGCAACTTCGCGAACAACAGTCACCCATGTTTCTGGGCTAAAAAACTATTTAATTATATCTGAATCTCGATTACAGGAATAATCACTTGAAGATCAAGAAAGCCAATGGTGCTGCTCTTAGGCAATGTTTTTTTTAATTGGTTCTCACTTGTGGACAAGCTGGCCACATACTGTACGATAATAGTTTCCAACAAATTCAAGAACATATTTGTTGATCGGGTACTGTAACATTTGCGCAAACGCTTGGATCTAAGTTCGCATTCCTTGTTGATGGTGGACTTTACATTCTGGTATGTCACGAGCTACTACACCTCCATTTTTTTGTCTGCGAAGTCGAATGAGTGTACAGAGCTGGAAGATTCCAAGAAACACAGTCAAGTTGAGAGCTACAGGAGGGGCTCGAAAGCACATCAAAATTAGTCAGAGAAAATTGTTAGCATGAACCTGTGAACAGACTGCTGCTTTGGAATGGTAGGATCCGTGCATAAACTTGCAGTGCTCCTCGGTTGTAACGACACATTCTCCAAGGATGCCGAAACAGCACGGTCGTCCGATTACTTGACACTGCATGTGAGGAGGACTAGGATCGATCTCCGAGGAGGTGTTCGCCACATTTTCACAAACCTGGAAGGCATATATAGAACCACTTATGTTACAGAGCACACAACAATGAACTAAGCTGAGCTTCTCAGCCTCTCCTTTAATGTAATGAACAAGTCTTTCGACTACGGGGAAACGGTACTTCTATTGACATTTCGTCTTGTAAGTAAAGTCAATGTATGCTGAAAAGCCGGGAGGCACTGTATAGCTGTTTCATCCATATTGGGAATCATCAGCGGTTCTCAGTTTATGAAACTTCCGGAAGTTTCGAACTCGCGATCTCCCCGCTAGTAGTTCGGCCAAGGACAGCTCATCAGCACTGTGATTAACTCACACTTAGACAGGATTCTACACCGCTCATCCTTCAACCACGTGTTGATTCAACCTGTG